TTCTATGTGTCGTTTGCTTATTTTGATGAATCTATGGGTAGTATCGGGGCGTATGAACCATGGAGAAGTTGGAATGCAGTATATATTACACCAATATAAATAAAGAATTAGTTCACAACAATATCAAAAAGTGGTGATTTATTTTCTTATACTAACGGATCTCATGAGTTTTCTGTTCAGTTTTGTGTTGTGAAGTTTTCAAGTTTTGGGTAAAGATTTGATGGATTATGGAATAAGGAGTGGCAAGAGCCTAAGCTTGGAGATGCCCAAGGCACCCCAAGGTAATATTCAAGGACAACCAAGCATCTAAGCTTGGGGATGCCCAGATGGCATCCCCTCTTTTGTCTTTGTCTATTGGTAAATTTACTTGAGGCTATATTTTTATTCACCACTTGATATGTGTTTTGCTTGGGTGTCTTGTATGATATGAATCTTTGCTTTTTAGTTTGCCGCAATCATCCTTGATGTACACACCTTTTGAGAGGGACACGCATGAATCGTGATTTATTAGAATACTTTTTGTGCTTCACTTATATCTTTTAAGTTAGGCAATTTTGCTCTAGTTCTTCACTTATATCTTTATAGAGCATGACGGTGGCTTTATTTTATAAAAACTGTTAAACTCTCATGCTTCACTTATATTATTTTGAGAGTCTCTCTAAACAGCATGGTAATTTTCTTAGGTCATGAATTTAGTCCTAGTATGATGGGCATCCAAGAGGGATATAATAAAAACTTTCATATAAAGAGCATTGAATACTATGAGAAGTTTGATTCCTTATGATTGTTTTGAGATATAAAGATGGTGATATTAGAGTCATGCTAGTGAGTAATTGTGGATTGGTAGAAATATTTGTGTTCAAGTTTGTGATTCCCGTAGCATGCACGTATGGTGAACCGTTATGTGATGAAGTCGGAGCATGATTTATTTATCGATTGTCTTCCTTATGAGTGGCGGTCAGGGACGAGCGATGGTCTTTTCCTACCAATCTACCCCCTAAGAGCATGCATGTAGTACTTTGTTTTGATGACTAATAAATTTTTGCAATAAGTATATGAGTTCTTTATGACTAATGTTAAGTCCATGGATTATACGCACTCTCACCCTTCCACCATTGCTTGCCTCCCTAGTACCGCACAACTTTCGCCAATGCATTACACCCACCATATACGCTTCCTCAAAACAGCCACTATACCTACCTATTATGGCATTTCCATAGCCCTTCCGAGATATATTGTCATGCAATTTCCACCGTTCCGTTTATTATGACACGCTTCATCATTGTCATATTGCTTTGCATGATCGTAAGATAGCTATCATGATGTTTACATGGCTTGTCCGTTTTTTATGTAATTTGCTACGCTAGATCATTGCACATCCCGGTACACCGTCGGAGGCATTCATATAGAGTCATATCCTTGTTCTAGTATCGAGTTGTAATTCTTGAGTTGTAAGTAAATAAAAGTGTGATGATCACCATTATTAGAGCATTGTCCCATGTGAGGAGAGGATGATGGAAGCTATGATTCCCTCACAAGTTAGGATGAGTCTCCGGACTTTACAGAAAAATAAAATAGGCCAAAGAAGCCCAAACAAAAAAGAGAAAAAAAATAGAGAGAAAAGAGAGAAGGGACAATGTTACTATCCTTTTTCCACACTTGTGCTTCAAAGTAGCACCATGTTATTCATGATAGAGAGTCTCCTACGTTGTCACTTTCATATACTAGTGAGAATTTTTCATTATAGAACTTGGCTTGTATATTTCAATGATGGGCTTCCTCAAATTGCCCTAGGTCTTCATGAGCAAGTGAGTTGGATGCACACCCACTTAGTTTATTTCTGAGCTTTCATAAACTTATAGCTCTTGTGCATCCGTTGCATGGCAATCCCGACTCACTCACATTGATATCTATTGATGGGCATCTCCATAGCCGGTTAATACGCCTAGTTGATGTGAGACTTTCTCTTTCTTTTTGTCTTCTTCACAACCACCATATGCTATATCCATGGCTCACGCTCATGTATTGCGTGAAAGTTGAAAAAGTTTGAGAACATCAAAAGTATGAAACAATTGCTTGGCTTGTCAACCGGGTTGTGCATGATTTAATACTTTGTGTGATGAAGATGGAGCATAGCCAGACTATATGATTATGTAGGGATAACTTTCTTCGGCCATGTTATTTTGAGAAGACATGATTGCTTTATTAGTATGCTTGAAGTATTATTATTTTTATGTCAATATTAAACTTTTGTTTTGAATTTTATGGATCTGCATATGCATGCCACAATAAAGAAAATTACATGGATAAATATGTTAGGTAGCATTGCACATCAAAAAAATTGTTTTTATCATTTACCTACTCGAGGACGAGCAAGAATTAAGCTTGGGGGTGCTTGATACGTCTCCAACGTATCTATAATCTTTGATTGTTTCATGCTATTATATTATCTATTTTGGATGTTTTATATACATTAATATGACATTTTATATTATTTTTGGGACTAACTTATTAACCCAGAGCCCAGTGTCAGTTTTTGTTTTTTCATTGTTTTTGAGTTTTACAGAAAAGTAATATCAAACGGAGTCCAAACGGAATAAAACTTTACGATGCTTTTTCTTGAACGAGAAGACACGCTTAGGACTTGGAGATGAAGTCAGAGGAGTCCCAAGGCGGCCACAAGCCTCAGGGGTGCGCCCTAGGGGGGCGCGCCCTGAGGGCTTGTGGGCCCCTTGGAGCTCCTCTAACCCTAATTCTTGGCCTATAAATTCCCAAATATCCCCAAATCAACAGAAGCATCCACCAAAATACTTTTCCGATGCCACAACCTTCTGTTCCCGTGAGATCCCATCTTGGGGCCTTTTTCGGCACCCTGCCAGAGGAGGATTCGATCACGAAGGGCATCTACATCAACTTTATTGCCCTTCCGATGAAGCGCAAGTAGTTTACCATAGACCTAAGGGTCCATAGCTAGTAGCTAGATGGCTTCTTCCCTCTCTTTGATCCTCAATACCATGTTCTCCTTGATGTTCTTGAGATCTATCTGATGTAATATTCTTCTGCGGTGTGTTTATCGAGATCCGATGAATTGTGGATTTATGATTAGTTTATCTATGAATATTATTTGAATCTTCTATGAATTCTTATATGCACGATGTGATATCTTTGTATTTCTCTTTGAATTATCGGTTTGGTTTGGCCAACTAGATTGGTTCTTCTAGCAATGGGAGAGGTGCTTAGTTTTGGGTTCAATCTTGCGGGGTCCTCACCCAGTGACAAAATAGGGGTAGCGACGCAAGTATTTGTATTGTTGTCATCAAGGGTAAAAAGATGGGGTTTTCATCATATTGCTCGAGTTTATCCCTCTACATCATGTCATCTTACTTAAGGCGTTACTCCGTTCTTATGAACTTAATACTCTAGATGCATGTTGGATAGCGATCGATGTGTGGAGTAATAGTAGTAGATGTAGAATCGTTTCGGTCTACTTGACACTGACGTGATGCCTACATTCATAATCATTGCCTTGGACCTCATGCGGCAGTGGAGATCATTGACTAAGACAGAAGACCGTGATGCTTTCGACCTCCTATCTTCCAAAATTCAGGCTTCGACGTCTTCTATCTCGCGGTAGGAGCCGGGTGGCTAGTTGTCCCGGGTGACCTTTTGGCTTTCGTGATGTCTTCGTGCGGTTTTCTTTTATCTCCTCTCAGTTCCGACATGCGTGCCGATGTTGTGGCATGTGCGCCCTGCACCCCCGTACCTTATTTTGCTTCTGATTGTGGCCGAATGTCTGTCTGGTTGTCTTGAACGCTATCTGGTGACTTTATTTATACTAGTAAAAGAGCCCGTGTGTTGCAACGGGACAGAAAAAACACACGCTCTTAACCCAATAACAACTCAAGACCCTGGTAGGTAGACGCTTTTTATTTTAAAATGGCATCACATTTGTGTTCCTGGCGGCGGTCTCAATGCTCACACAGCGAAAATGCATTTGAATGTGTTCTGTCCTAAGGCGTCTCTCTCTCTCACACTCACACACACACGCGCGCGCGCTTGCACGCACACAATCGCTCAGAATAAGGTGAGAAAAATGTTGTTTTTCCTGCGAGGTTTTCCAGAGTTGTGTATGTGTGGTTATCAATGATTTTTTTTCTCTCGATCTAGTTTTAATGTGTGTTTATTTGCAATTTGGATCGCCACCAGTGCGAAAGAAAAACGGACCGTGCACTATAGATTAAGTTTGCACCCAAATTAATAGTTTAGAAATATTTAATAGCTAAAAGTAACAGCATATTTAGATTCTACACATTTTTCTAATCAAATTTCATATATAATATGTTAAAATCGGAGTTACGGTTTAAAAGATATGGATAATTTTGTTTTACATAAACTATGGATTGATTAACCGAAAGGTCAGGGGGTTTTCTGTTAAAACACAAAAAAAAACGATTTGTATGACTTAAATATGAATGGTGGGTTGATTACCTGAAACGTCAGTGGGTTTTCTGAGAAAATTAAAAAACAGTTCGGTATGACTTAAAGATGGACTGCAGGTTGATTTCAACAAACCACAGGGATTTTTCTGCAAAAGAGAGCGACGGACGATAAGAAACCCTCCGTGCTTTATTATTAGGTAGAGAAAGTCGGGCCGATGTCTTTCCTCTAAAAAAAGGTAGGAGAGTGAGAAAGAGTGATATTGTGGGAGGGCAAAAGTGGAAAATATAAAAATTTCATAGAGATTTCAACGTGCAAACATAAAACGACTTATATTTCGGTTCGGAGGGAATATCATCATAGCCAGCCATTGTTTTGCGTTTGGCTCGCTCGTGGAGATTAGACGCAAGAGTTTACCTAAAGCTCAAGAAAGAAACTTGAGGCCCTGAGCCCTTGACCCACCAGGCCCCTAGCCCGCCCCTTACCGAAGCAGCAAATCGGCTATCGGCTAGAGCGCAAACCCCCCACCACGCCACCACCGATCGCATCGCGAGTTCGCGACCATGGACGACGTTGTCACCGACGCGCCGCCGCCGTCCCGCTTCTCCCCCGACGACCTCGACAACTTCGCCGCACCCCTGCCGCAGCCCACCCCCATCCTCGTCGTCTCCCCAAACCCTAGCCCCGCCCCGCGGCTCCTCGTCGTCCTCATCTCCCCCACCTCCCTCGCCCTCCTCCCCTCCCCGCCGCCTCCTCTCCACGCCTCCCTCCTCCTCCCAGACCTCCCCTTGAAGCAGTCCCGCGCGCCCATCCGCGTCTACCTCCACCCCTCCTCCGGCGCCCTCCTCGCCGTCGCCCACGGCGCCATCCCCGCCCACCGCACGCGCGCCGCCGCCAGGAGCCTCATCTCCGGGCTCCAGCCGGAGGAGGTCCTGGTCCTGGACGCGGTCCGCAGCGGGGCGTACAGGGGCAGGCTCTCCGCGGACGAGCTGGTGGAGGGGAAGCTGGAGACCGGGGCGGCGCGGCGGCGGGGAGGCGTGGGCGCGGCCAAGGGCGTCGCGGCGCTGGCGCCTCCGGGGAGCGTGATGGACGGGCTCGGCGCCGCCGTGATGACGGAGTGCGAGATCCGGGGGAAGGCCGCGAGCATGGTGGTGACCTGGCCGGCGGCCGCCAGGCCCTCCGACTTCGGGGTCATGCGGCGCGTGGCGGCGGAGCTCGGCGTCGATCTGAAGGCCGCGGCCAGGGTCTCCGGCCGGGCCGGGTTGGGCGCGCTGTATACTTAAGATGATATCCCTTCCACTTCTCTGTGCTCATGGTTCGTCTTGTTTGGCTTGTGCTATTGAGAAGAGAAGTTCAGAGAAAATCCCAAGATGTATCAGGGATTCAGTATTCAGCAATGTTGTGTTCGGGCATTCTGCGACAGGATTATGGACACACAAACTAAACTTTACTAGTGCATTTCGGTGGTGCTATCGATGTTTTTATGTTGTTGAATGTTTCTATGCCTGCGTTCAGAATTTGTGCCTATCTGCTGCTTCCCACACCACAACCAACATCACCACCACCATGGGAGCAACTTTTGCACAGTCGCCATAGCGGCTCCATCCCTATAGTAACCGCCAATATGGTGATTTTGACTGAAAATGTCACTAGCGAAGTCAAGCCAGCGAGATTTCATATTTGGAGGTTTGTGTAGTGTTGGGTTGAAGGGTGCTCCATCCGCCCACAGCCTCCACATGTTGGACTGGAGCGATCGTGACGGCCTAAAGAGGAGTTAGATCGACACCGTTGTTCGCAATTGTGAGAAGCATTAGATGGGACATCCACATAGATGTCTAGATTGCATCTCACAATTTCAAGCATCGTCGTCAGAATCAAGTCGCAACCACCGAAATCACTGCCGAAATCGATACCCGCCGCCAAAATCATCACTGGAATCGTCTTCACTCTCAACGACGTGCTTGTGGTCGTCCTCCCCCTCGCCAGAATCAAGTCACAACCGCTACGTTGATATGTGTGACCTTTGGTCCACTATTATTGGTCAACTGAATTACTCCAATTGGAGAATAAGTATGTAGCCAATAACATATGACTTTGGATCCCATCGCCTTTCCGCTCAACTTTATCCTAGTTTTGCCGAAGGAGCAATCCACTAAAAATTCCATCTGCCCCTACCGTACTCTAGCTTGGTAGTAAATTATGGAGGCTGAGTGCCTCAAAAAAAAATTTATGGAGGCTGAGATATGTTGACTGCATTTGCACGCCATCTGTCCACCCTTCAAGGATATGACAACTGTGCTAGAGTTGCTCTAGCACATAGCAAACCATGTTCATTACCATGTGAGAAAGCCCATTTAGAAAAACAATTGCAAATTTTAAACTTTATTTTAACATGGATATTAATCCCTCCCTGTCTAGGTTTCCCTAACTGCACATACATTTTGATTAAAGGTTTAAAATATGCACATACAAGGTGCTTAGAAAATGTGCTTAGAGGATAGACATTTAATTAGACATCTATTCTCTCCTATAGAGATAAGCACTAATGCTCAAGAAAACAAAGTTTATTTTACAAAGGACCTACCTATGCAAGCACATGTACAAGGCCTAAAACGATCCAAGCTCATTACTTGTTTTAGTCTTCACAGCATATGTAATTTTGTAGTAAAACAATGACAAGTATTTTGGAACGGAGGGAGTACTTATTCATCCCTACAAACTCATGTACACGACAAATTACTGTATGCAAAAATAAATAAAGCAACAAAAACTAAAACTTAAGTAGTGGCAATTTTACTTTTCATTTAGCAAAAAAAATCAACAATAAATGTGAGATAGCACTAATTTTCAAAACGACTAATGGAAAACCAAAATTGAAACTTAAACTTTTTTTAGGGTGTCTGGTTTCCCCTTAAAACAGGACAGACGACAAGACTAGAGCTCTAAGACCCAGGTTCAATTTTTCTCCATAACCTGTATACGGACCCTTCATCCCTACAAACTCTTGTATCGAACAAATAAACCAAAAAGCCAAAGAAAAAAGTAGCGTAATTTTAAATTTTCGTTTTGCAAGAAAAAACAAAGATAAACCTACCTCATAACTGGGTGCTACCAAAATTAGAGTAGCATGGCAATTTCAGATTGGAAAAAACTAAAAAAAAAACATGAGATGGAGAAGAAAACTTTTATTATTGATCGCTGCCAGACACACTGCGGCAGAACAAGGAACACACTGGAGAATGCTGCCAATTCTCCTAGAGAAACAAAATATGATGGGGAAAAAGAAACGCATGGGGGTACCAGCCGAAGGAGATGGGATACTAATTGGAGCAATAAATGGAATTAATTGTTTTAAGTACTCCCAGGAGAGCAAGGTATCCGGTTAAAATTAACCCTACAACCTGGCATGACATCCTCGCACGACTGAGAACCAGAGGCAAATGTAGCATCAGAAATGACACCCGAAAACTGCTCTTTCGGAACGTCGGAAACACTGCCTACAGAGCTGCAACAAGGTTGCAAAGCTTTGGGAGGGAGGAGCTTCCCCTCACCGTTGCTCGGAACATGCAGCCCCTCAGCATGGTTGATGCTGAGGCTTTTGTCTTCAACATCTGAGCCTACCTTGTCTTCTCCTGTCTTGCTGCAGTTTTTCGCCAAACCAGGCATGCTAGAAACCACTGCATGATGAGACTGGCCGTTATTATCTACTTCATCGCGCATATCATCAGTACAAGGCAATGCCTGGTCCTCGCCAGCAGCAACATTTTTCCCCACCACCACGTCCACAGAAGCCTCCTTGATCATCTCTTCACTTTCTGGTTGTGAAGATGATGCGAGAGCTTTGGACTTCCTAGAACCAGTGCTTGAACTATAAAGCTTCATGGCATTCTGTACAAGTTAAAAACACATCAATAATAAACATGGGTTCAACATGGAGTAATGCATTCAAAGATTGCTATACTTTATGGCCGAGGGCTGTAACCCAAGTTAGAGAACAATAGATGCAACATTAAGAAGGTTCTGATGTAATAATTCCCAGACGTAATATAGTTGTTCCATTAACCTCGTAGCCATTAAACAAAGATACTTCATTACGCTGCTGAACAAGCCACAGTAACATTATTTCTGTACTGGATTTAAAGTAATGTATAAACATGTTTGGCTAAATAAACAATGATAATAAGCTCAGATACAGGACAATAATTTCAAGCCAAACAACAGATAAAGATAGTTAATGTTTCAAGACTCTAGGTTGTCTAGGCCGAGGATTACACATGCAATATAGGCATTGTGGCATACTTCATGGACAAATTTTAGACTTTCCAGTGCCATGTATGCTAGTACCTGCTCAATGTAAGTCATCAAAACAAGAAAAAAATATTGGGAACAGCCAGCACTATGGTTTGACACATAGGTGGCTCAGTTTGGCCTCCAGCTTTAGAAGTCATATAGCCTATTGCCCTATTCCATGCAGGTATATAGATTATGTTTTTCTTGGCAGATTATCACATGAAAGAAAAATGCCCTGACCAAGAAGCTTGAATAATATGGTGAACAGCAGATGTGACAAATATTAAACATAACCATTTATGCACTGGCCTATCGTGAAGGTTTGTAAGTGGGTCATCCAAAAAATCATAGTTAATCTTGGAGAAATGTACCTCAAATACAGAAGTTGTTTCCCCTGAAAATATGGACTTTATCATGTATTTGAAACCTTGAGCTTGATGTCCATGCTCATCTTTATTATTCTGAAAAAGGGAAGAGAATACTTGGTCAATGTTGATAAAAATGAAACTTTTTTAAACAGTAAACTGAACATGTAAATCATTCCAGCTACCTTCAAGCACCGACGCATGGTAGATTCACATCCAGCCAGCTCCAACTCCCCCGCCATTGTACTGCATTTTTTGTACAGCTCTGGTGAAGCAAGGCTTGTCGAAATATCAAGCCTCTTGAAGTATTTGGAGCAAAACCGAGAATCCACTTTTACAATAGAAGGCCCAGGAGTTGCCTCAGATCTATATTTTGGAGCATGTGCATCAGTTTTTTCAGCATTAGCCTCAACTGTTTTGACTTCAGAGCTTTGACTTTGATTTTGAGCTGGGAGTTGCATTAACGAAGGCTTGTCAGAAGTATGAGATGAAAGTGGCACCTCCGACTCTAACTGCTGTTGAAAATCAGGATCATTATTCTGGCCATAGCTGTGTGAGTATTCTTCAAAGACACTTCTACTTGCATCCCAACCAGGTACCTGAGAGATATATGGGTCTTCTGCAGGATTGTGCCATGGAAATGGTTGTACACAATGAGGAAAACTTTCAGGATGTCCATGCAAAGGATAATGCATCCCAGCATGATTCGTATCCATAGATGGCCGCATCCCAAATAAAGATTGAGGGAACTGGTGGATAGCTGGGTGAAAACCAGGGATTGGAGGACCATGCTGGAAAGGACCAAAACCACTTGGTACTGGTGAAGGCCATGAAGGCGGATTATTCCAAGTGCTACCATGCCCTCTTGCATTATCAACAGTACCACTTCTTCTGGGGCGGCTGCTTGACCTGCGTTCTCTAATCTGGCTCCTATTATCATCATCAAAGGATCTTTGATTGTCCATCTCAGGTCTATCACGTGGCAGATGGAGATGCCCTGGTGATGCACTTTGATAGTTCTTCTCAGTAGCTTGACGATTCAATAATAACTCATGATGTCTGGTATTGCCTTTCTTCACTGAACCATCAACAGCATCATGATTATGCCTCAGATTGCTCCGGTTGGAAACTTGACAATCACTCGCTGATGGTGGTCTGTCATTAAAATGGATTGGTCGGCCATCAGATCTCAAATTTCTACCATCTTTCAAGGGCAGAGAGGATTCATTGCTATTTGCATCAGTTTTACTAAGACCCTCAACTGATTGAAAGTCAGATGTTCGTCTATGTCTTCCAAGAGCAGCACCATTCTCCCTGGGTGAGGATTCTTCTTGCTTAGGGAAATGCCTGAAATAAATAGTAATTTAATAAATCTCTAGATAGTCACATCCACGCAGCTTGTAACTGCTAACAACTTATAGCTTTACGAACAGAGGCCTTTTAAAATAGAGAAAAGAAGCTTAGAATTTCAGTGCCAGTCACATGCAGGAAATGATGATGATAAGTGCCCACAATTACTAGAACTACATCCATGTTTTCACTCTTACCAGTTCTAAGCTCTATAAGAAACAGGCGATAAATACATGTCAAAAAGAGAAAATGGAACTGAATTCAGACTCAAGTAATCTCTCATCAGATCCATCTCCAATAAGACAATGCAGCTCCATCAGTAAACACTATTCACGGATTAGCTTCACACAATCTCCATATAATCTAGATCTCTTTATAACGAGTCAGTGGTGCTTTTATTACTTGGCAGAGGAGAACTGGGTTTCTTTACTTCAGTTGTTGATCTTCCTATCCTTGTGTATTTGTACCATTACAGAACATAAATAATTTATTCAACAAAATCAAATTCTAAAGACACAAAGGTAGATATAAAGATGCGGTCACTCCAATTTGAACAGTTGAAATGTAATGTAATGCGGAGAAGAATGTGGTCAACAGTTTCAGAAAATTACCTGCTTTGCTCCTTCACAGGATATGTGCTGGATCTGGTGGGGCTCTTCCTCTCAAAATCCCTCCTCCGAGAATCAACCTTCTCATATTCTCGCCTACGGTCTTCATTGGAAACAAATGAGCTTACATCAGACCTGCGTTTAGCATCTCCATGATATTCTTTTGCATTCCTGGGTTCCAGATCACCATTATGACCGCTTTCTTCATAAGACCTTTTCTTCCCTTTGCTGTCATGGAGTCTACTTTTATTGTGCCTGCTCTCTGAATAATTATGTTCCTCTTTGCAGTGCTTTTCCAATGACCTGTCTCTAGTGCTGTCCTTTGAGGATCGCACATCCCATGATCCACCATCTTGACTCCTATGATATCTATAAAGATCATCTCGATGTTTCTCTCTAGAGCTGTTATCAGATCTTTCATTCCTAGATTTCTCTTCATCTCGATGTTTCTCTCTAGAGCTGTTATCAGATCTTTCATTCCTAGGTTTCTCTTCATCTCTAGGCTTATCTTTGTATCTTTCGTCCTTATATCGGTCCTCCTCTTTAGTTCTTTCCCCTTTGTATTTTACATCCCTATGTCTATCTTCATGTCTCAACCTTTCCTCTTTGTACCTTTCATCTCTATGCAGTTCCTCATCTTTATGCCTATCGTCTTTGTGTTTGTTACTTTTATGCCTGTCCTGAGCTTTGGACCTATCATCTCTATATTTTTCTTCTCTATGTTTTTCCACACCTCTAGGCATGTCATCTTTCAATTTCTCATCTGTGTGTTGCTGCTCGTAACATCCATCAGTTTTGGTACGAGCATCCCGAGGCATGGTTTGCCTTCCCTTGCTGCTGCTTTGTAACTCATCTTTCGCAGCAGACTGTTCCTTTGTTTTCCTGTGCCTCCCATTCTTTTCAGATTCTCCATCGTGCAACTCATCTTCACGATGACGGTCTGCTAATAGAAAGACAAATAAAATAATATCAATAGAAATTATATATAAATGCTTCAGATATATAAAACATGATCAGAAGGCCCAGCTCCCAACAAACCCACACCAATACTCTCTTGATTACTACGGTATTACGGTCCTAAGATTATGACCATATTACCACTTGCTGGATTTTGTAGGCTAATTAAACCATAGCAAATAATCATGATGTAGGCTGTATCCTTATGAGAAGAAGTATACAGAGCATACACAAATATAACAAATGAAGTGATGGACAAGACTAGATAATTGTTGAGTGGCTATGATCGTCAGAGAGCTTATTTTGAAAATTGATAAAAACAAATAGATAACAAATAAGACCCGCAAAAAAAAGATAACAAATAAGACAGCATAAACTATTTCGAATCACATCCATTCTACCACTTCATAGAAACAAGCCACAATAAAACTTATTACACATATCCATCTTGTCAACTGAAAACATGGTTCATTTACTTATAAATTACATTCCCTCCGCCCAGACATGTAAACCCGCATAATTGTGTGTGCAGCCTAACACAATCCTAATCAATAAATCATCAAAACAAACTAGACAGTTGAACTCTGCAACTCACACATGTGTGTACATACAATGTAAAGGTTTAATATATTGTACAAAAGCATGCAACATTTGTGCAGGCTTAAATGAGCAAAGATGTGTCACCAATTTTGCACAACTAACTGACACTGGCATGCAAATCCATATGGCATGTGGGTGCTCAATATAAACGTTAGATTTAGGCCCTTATATGCACTCAATCCCAATGCAAGGTGGGTGACTCATGGGTAGTACCAACATATGTTTATACCTTTGGGAAGGATCAAGGATAACAAGAGAAGCAGAAGCCATAAGTAATTTGCAAGGTATCATGAAAACTAAAATTTTAGCTGACATGTAGTATGGAATTCTGGTTGAAGCAGAGGAAATAGCCAGGTAGAATAGCATGCACAAACAACAAATAGCAACACCAACTCTCACTAGACTGTGGGCAAAGCTATAATACTGTGACTCATGAGTCATACTACATGAAACAAAAGCCAGGGATTCTTCCTATATTAAAAAAATTCACTAGTCAAGGAAGTACAAGACAAGCAGATGTGAGATAGGACCAGATTAAGGCAAATGTTACATAATGGAGGTTATGTTCTTCACGATGAGTAAAGTCAGACAAAGGTCAAGTAATAAAGTTTTCATATGGTCATAAACTCATAACATCATATAATATTAGATTCTAGTCTAATTTTAAGTTTAGTAACTTGAGCATTTGAAGTTTCTCCTTCTGTTGTTACCGATATCTCAACAAGAACTATGCAATCTGGTAGGTGTTCATGTTCCATATGATCCTTTGGCCAGTATAGCAAGTGATACTTCATCATGACTATCTATCTACCAACAAGTTTTAAGTATGAAGAGCAAGCTGAAAAATACCTACCATCAGTTCCTCCATTGGAATAATTCTTCGTTTTATCGCTGTCCAAATCTCGTGTTTTCACCTCTTTGTTTCTTGGCGTAGCTTTCAGTGATGCATCATGCCTGCGCTCACTCCCCTTTTCATGATCCTTACTCCTATCCTTCACAATCTTATGCTGCTGATCTGTGCTGTCTTCCTTCAGCGTCAACACTTGCTTGCTTTCCTTTGACTTCTCTGGCTCAAGCTCCCTCCCCCTCTCCTTCACTCGGTGATGCTCGCCGGAAGTATGCTCCTCCAACAATAATGCCTCTTTATCTGACTTCCTTCCGGCAACCTCGTTGGCCCTATCATACTCCTTACTAGACTTCCTTGCAGACTTCCCCTTCTCATCACCATCTGAACTCCTGGACTTCTTCGAGTCATGGTAACCGACTCTCTCATCCTCTTCGCCGTAACTCCACCTGTCATCCCCGGTGGCATTATCCTTCTCCCCTCTGCTCTTCCTCTTCTTCTGCCCGTCAGCCGACGAACCAGATGCCTCGCCCGCGTTGGAAAGCTTTGCAGGCCGCTTCTCGTGGTCCTCCGAGCCCTTGGAGGCCCTAACGGCGGCCGCCTTCCAGTCCTCGTGCTCCCGCGGCCGCGGATCCTCGTCGGAGTCCGACCTGTCCCGCTCCTCCCGGTCGTGCTTGCGGGACCTGCGTCGCGTGCTCCTCGGCATCGTGGCGGCTTCCAAACCTCAATCCCACGGCCAAAGGTTCGCCGGAGCGGCGCCTATTATGAAACCCTGCGCCCCCTGAATCCTCAGCAGAGGGGCGGAACCCGGGCAGAGCGTACGCAAATCCACCGGAACTCCTCGTCTCACCGCGGGAACCGCCGAGGACGCTCCGAGCATATATAAGCAAGCAGATGCGGAAACTTCCGGGGAGGCTGCGGGGATTCACCGGGGCTCGAGTCCGACGACGAGGCGGCGGGGGGCGGGGCAGAGCGAACTGGACTAGGATTCGGAGACAGGCGGCGGCGCGGCGGGTGGAGGCTTGGAGGAATCGAATCGAATCGAATCGGAATGGGATACGAGCAGCGGCCGGATAGGCGGAGGAGGGATTGGGATTGGGGATTGGAGGAGGGGAACGGGCGGGGGCGAGAGAAGGGACGCGATCGCGGATTTTTTGGGGATTTATCTTTTTTTTCCTTCCAAAGAAAGTTTCTGTTTCCGCTAGGGCGTCGCGTGTGGCGTGTAGCAGGCGGGCGTGACGAAAATACCCACCGTGCGGTTGCGTCGGCTGAGCGTGGGCAGCGGTTGGTATTGGCCGCGGATCAGGGGCAGCGCGGTAATTTTGGTGGGACTTTCCGTTCGCTTGTGTCCCGTTTTTGTTTTCGGTCTCAACCTTGGTGATCTTTTCTCGCGCAGTTGTTTCTCGTGCGCTTAAGGGACGATAATCTGGAGTATGTGCTGCCCAATGTCAATTGTCACGCTAGCTCATTTCAAAAAAAAAAAAAATGTCCTGTTCATCGCAGCATTTCAAATAAAAATGGTACAACATAAAATTCAAAATTTTGGCAGCATTTCATTTGTATTTTCAAGACAAACAACATAACAATATATATTGACAAGCATGACACATACTATATGACATCAACATAACACAAATTTCAAGTGCAATATCATAAGGTAGCAAGTTCATCCAACACATCCAAAAACAAACGGCCATACATGTCAAGTTCACATACCAAATCGTCAAAAAGCTTAACAAATGACGTCCATTGCAACAAAATTAACCCAATCTGATCCGAAAATTTACACAACACACCACAATGTCAAAAAAAATTGGTTTAGATAATCAAATCTGATGTGATCATTCATGCATCGGCCCATACGCAGTGCATGGTCTTCTCTTCCTTACAACAGCTCGAACAAGAACAGTCATTGCAACAAGTGCAACAAAAACAATGGCTCCTGTAATCATGGTCAGATCCTACGAAGACGGTAAGAGCATGCAGCAATAGAGGTTAAGGCCTATGGTGGATACCATGTTTTAAAAAAAAGGAGGTTAAACCCCCGGCCTGTGCATCAACGCGATGCACACAATCATTCTTATTATATTATAAATAGAGTACATAACAGAGACGGTCCCGGCCGAGCGATTATAAGATATGAAAATAAACACCTACGACTAAGTTGACTTCTTCCGCGGCAACGCCTTCAAGAAAGGATAAACTTTCTCGCGTCATCTTCGGCACATCCCGTCGGAATGGCTTGAACAATGATTTTCATCATGGTTGCCGAGGCCAACCAATAAAGACCAATACAATAGCAAGTACGCGACGTCTTCAACAAGACATCAACATAAATTTGTCGTTGTTGAGCCTGGCCAATAAAGGACATGACAAGATTTTTAACCAAAAAATGAAGTGGTGTCACAATCAACATATCTTGAGTGTTGGAAAACGTAGTAGAAAACAAAAAAATCATGCATACGATCACCCAAGATCAATATGAAGATGCATAACGGGTTGGAATCACAATCGTTACCGTCACCGAGTTACAGCGGAAGAAGAACGTGCAGGTGTAGATCATACTTGGAGTCCCTCGAACCATCGATGAACGATCCCTCGTACCGCCCACGAACAGCCCCTCGAACCGAAGACCGAAAGCACAGCCTCTCTACTTGGTTGCAAGCGTGCAACCTTCACGATTCGGCAGTGCTTCGCCGTCCAGAGCTAATCGTCGCCGGAGAATTAGAGGGAGGGGTTTAGAACCACACATGCCTTCTAATTATGAGGACAAGAGGATTATCCTAGCTCTAATTAGTCAACCAGGACCAATTCAAAATATAACTAAAAGAACTAGAGGAGGCTCCAAAACTTATATATGATTAGTAGAGCAAAAAAACTAGTATATATATGTTGGAGGAGGAGGAGGGGGCAGCCACCAAGGAGGGAAAGTCCCTCCTTGGGGAGTCAACCAAGGGGGGGAGTAGGACTCCTCCCCTAGTCCAATTCGGCCCCCCTTATATGGCAAGGCGGGCGGCACTTCCTTACGGGCCTTCTGTTGGGGAACGCAATATTTCAGAAGTATTCCTACGATCACGCAAGATCTATGTAGGAGATGCATAACAACGAGACGGGAGAGTGTGTCCACGTACCCTCGTAGACCGAAAGCGGAAGTGTTTAGTAACGCGGTTGATGTAGTCGAACGTCTTCACGATCCAACCGATCCAAGTACCGAACGTACGGCACCTCCGTGTTCAGCACGCGTTCAACACGATGACGTCCCTTGAGCTCTTGATCCAGTTGAGGACGAGGGAGAGTTCCGTCAGCACGACGGCGTGGCTACAGTGATGATGAAGTTAACGACCCAGGGCTTCGCCTAAGCACTACGACGATATGACTGAGGTGTGTAACTGTGGAGGGGGGCACCGCACACGGCTAAGACAAATCTTGGAGTGCCTTTGGGGTGCCCCCTGCCCACGTATATAAAGGAGGGAGGTTGAGAGGTCGGCCCTCCTAGGGGCGCGTCAAGTGTAGGGAGTGTCGGTGTCAAAACCGGTGGATCTCGGGTAGGGGGTCCCGAACTGTGCGTCTAGGATCGATGGTAACAGGAGACGGGGGACACGATGTTTACCCAGGTTCGGGCCCTCTCTATGGAGGTAATACCCTACTTCCTGCTTGATTGATCTTGGTGAATATGAGTATTACAAGAGTTGATCTACCACGAGATCATAATGGCTAAACCCTAGAAGTCTAGGCTGTATGACTATGGTAATGAGTGTATGTCTTCCGGACTAACCCCTCCGGTTTATATAGACACCGGGGGGATCTAGGGTTTACAGAGTCGGTTACATAAGAAGGAATCTTCATAGTTGATCGCCAAGCTTGCCTTCGACGCCAAGGAGAGTCCAATCCGAACACGGGTACAGTCTTCGGCCTCCATGTCTTCTCAGCCCATCAGTCTGGCCCAATGGATAACAGGCCGGACGCCCGAGGACCCCTTAGTCCAGGACTCCCTCAGTAGCCCCTGAACCTGGCTTCAATGACGAGGAGTCCGGCACGCAGATTGTCTTCGGCATTGCAAGGCGGGTTCCCCTTTTTCTGAACTCCAAGATAGTCTTCGGATGCAGTGATAGTATCCGGACCTGCAATGCATACCACACACAACCGCGGAGAGGATATAATACTTGCACGAGTCTAATCTGCTAACAACTTTTTACAACATGACATTACGTTTGTCCGGTCACAATTTCGAACCGTTTTTCGTTTGTCGCTCCAGTTTCGAGACACGGTTGCCATTGGCACGTCTTGTCGAAGCAGAGATCGTGTCCCCTTATTGCGGGATCCTCATCAATGCGGGCGTGGGTGACCCAACCGTGTTGTTTGCACGGCCCTTGGGAATAGGCGAGTTTAAGGCGAGTGGGGAGGCGCTTGATATACATGGCCTTTATAAGGGGGTAAGGATTCCCTTTCTTCACCCACACCTCGGTTCCTCCTCAGCCCTTCCGTCCCTGAGCTCCAGCGCCCAAGCTTTAGCTTTTCCCTCGTCCGAGAAAGCACTCCAAAGATGTCCGGGTCCGGAGCTGGAGGCAAGTGGATGGCCTCCTCCGTCAAGAAGAGGGATATCAAGGAGCTTTGGGAGGCCGGATATCTGGCCAAGGAGATCGCTCACCGACTCCCGCCCAAGGGACAGATCATCCCTACTCCAGAGCCCCACAAGAGGGTTGTGTTTCTTACACATTTCTTCTGCGGGCTGGGCTTCCCTCTTCACCCATTCGTCCGTGGACTGATGTTTTACTATGGGCTAGACTTCCATGACCTAGCCCCCAACTTCATTCTCAACATCACGACATTCATTGTCGTGTGCGAGGCCTTTCTCCGCATCCCACCTCATTTCGGCCTATGGGTGAAGACCTTCAATGTGAAGCCGAAGGTGGTGAGCGGCCAGCAAGCAGAGTGCGGAGGCGCCATGGTGGGCAAGATGCCCAACGTCACCTGGCCCGAAGGCTCATTCACGAAAGACGGTGAAGGGGTGGCAATCGGGGTGGTTCTATATCACCGAGCCGCGCGACGCCAACTGGGCAGCGACCCCCGAATTCCGATCCGGAATCCCGATGCGGCTCACCTCCTGGCAAGAGAGGGGCCTAACCTGGGGTCCCTCGGATGAGCTGACTGGGCTCCAGACATGCGTCCAGAACATGATAGACAGGAAGATTAAGCTTGTCAACGTGGTCTAGGTCATTCTCATTCGTCGGGTCCTTCCGTGACAACGCCGGACTTGCTATCTGTGGGAGTATGATCCGGCCAAGCACCAGACGCTACTAGAGCTCTTCGGCACGACGCATAAAGAAATCTGAAAAGTTCTCTTCAAGGCCGGTGAGACGCCACCGCCCACGACCGAAGATCACGGGCTTAGCTTAAAACGCTAGGCTAACTCGGTAAGTTCCTTTAATGTTTTCAAGGTGTACCCTTTACTAGCATATTCTAAGAAAAAGCCTAAGCTTCCCTACCCATGTTTTCAGGCCTGGATCAAGGTAGCAGAAGGGATTAACTGTTCGGCTCCGCTGCCCGAAGACCAAGAATTCCCGTTGCTGACAAGAATGCTTTTTCCAGCACCTTATGAGGTGCCAGAGAAGACGACCAAGAAAGCGGCCAAAGGGGCCAAAAAGGGCCCTCGCCGAAAAGGCGCTCTAGATGTAACGTCCGAAGACGAGACTTCCTCTTCGTCCGCTGACGACGACGACGAAGAGGAAGAAGAAAACGACTCCCCACCTGAAGTGGGGAGGAAGAAGAGAGCGGCCCCCACAAATCCGGAGGAGACAACGCCTAAGAGGGTTAAAGGCTCCCTCGCGGATAACTCCGCTTGGGATGTTGATAGCAGTCCAGAGCGACCTCGCTGGACTAAGCCTCGGGCCGCCTCGTAAGTACCAGAATCCGAAAATGTCTGGCCTTCCCGGTTTGTAACATTGATATATCTTAAAACTTGTCATTGCAGTCCGGCACGCGATGGCTCCCCGCGATCCTCGACAAAGGGATCTCTATACTCAAAGGAGATGGCTAGCATGTCTCCACCACTTGCTCATTCCGTCTTTCCCAAGGGTGATGACGAGGTGGTGTCACAAAAGACCTTCCCCGACCGGGGGAAGTTTCCGGAGATCGTCGGGGTGGCGCCCCAGGATGATTCCTCAGCCATCGGGCACATGGGGGAAAAAGCCCCTATGGGGACTGGTGACGGGGGCCGAGTTCCCTTTGGACCTCAGCCAGATACCATTCCGGAGATCTACGCGGCTCCAGAGTCCAGCGAATGGCATTCCCCAAAAGGAGGGAATGTGCTTGTTCCGCCGGTGACCTCTGTCTAACCAGAGGCACCAGATAATCTACTGGAGGCGCTACGAGGCGCCTTTATTATGGATGAACACCGTGCCCTTATGGGCATGGTAATTGTCGGTGTCAAAACCGGCGGATCTCGGGTAGGGGGTCCCGAACTGTGCGTCTAGGCCGGATGGTAACAGGAGGCAGGGGACACGATGTTTTACCCAGGTTCGGGCCCTCTTGATGGAGGTAAAACCCTACGTCCTGCTTGATTAATATTGATGATATGGGTAGTACAAGAGTAGATCTACCATGAGATCAGAGAGGCTAAACCCTAGAAGCTAGCCTATGGTATGATTGTATGTTATGGTTGTTGTCCTACGGACTAAAACCCTCCGGTTTATATAGACACCGAAGAGGGTTAGAGTTACACAAGGTCGGTTACAAAGGAGGAGATATCCATATCCGTACTGCCTAGCTTGCCTTCCACGCCAAGTAGAGTCCCATACAGACACGAGACGAAGTCTTCAATCTTGTATCTTCATAGTCTAACAGTCCGGCCAATGGAGATAGTCCGGCTGTCCGGAGACCCCCTAATCCAGGACTCCCTCAGTAGCCCCTGAACCAGGCTTCAATGACGATGAGTCCGGCACGCAGTATTGTCTTCGACATTGCAAGGCGGGTTCCTTCTCCGAATACATCACAGAAGAATTTGAATACGAGGATAGTGTCCGACCCTGCAAAATAAGTTCCACATTCCACCGCAGAGAGAATAATATTTTCGCAAATCTAATTTGCTGGCTTGTTTTGGCAGCACGACGTTATGTCATGGCCCGGTGATTATTTGAACCGTTTCTTTTAACCAGCTCCACACATAACACGAGGCGGTTTCTTGACACGTCTTATCGAAGCGGAGATCGTGTTCCCCC